TCTATCTCTCACACACACACACACACACATACACACATGCACATGTTCTTTATATGTTACTCTCTAGTAACACCTCTAATCTTTAGCACTTATATGACCTAATTGTGTTGCAAGTGCCAGAAAACTCTTTATCAAGTCATCCCCGTATCCCCCCTCTCTCCCTCCCTCCCCTCATCCAGGCAAAGTACAGAAGATGTTGGTGTACCAGGGCAAGTACCAGGCGCGGTCTGCGGCGGGCACCCTGCTAGAGGCCATCAAGATCTCCTTTATCAACGACCACGACCTGGGGTGAGATACACTGGCTAAACACCTCATGGGTGTCACATATGCCACTGATTTGATGAATGTGTGGAAAGCTGGGGACACAAATTGTGATTGATAAACGGGGGGGGGGGGACAAGTAGTCCAAAGTTAATTAATAAAGGGTGTGGGTTGGACAAGTGGTCCAAAGTTAATAAACGGAGGAGGGGATAATAAAAAAAGGGGTGTGGATAGCACATTCAACCTCATACCCCTGTTTTTGTAGGAAAAAATCTGTTTTAATTCTCCTTTAGTGAATAAAAGTACAAGAGATCATGAAATTTTTGTGATTTTAGTAAGTTACTGTGACAATTTTTCCCATTTAGGAAAAGACCAGTTTCATTAAAAAATATAAACCAATGTACAAAATGCACAGAAAATTAAGGTAGCCAACACGGTACCGGTAGGGTAATTTGCCATTTACAACAACAAAAAAGGAAGTTTCATTCAGATATATAGATTCTAGATATAATGTTTCATGTGATCGTCGGTCGTGGCAAGCTGGAAAATAATAACGTGGGGTATGGAATAAGGAGCGGGGGTACGCGAAAATTCTGAAAATTAATAAGCGGGGTGGGGGACGCTTATTTGATACCTTGTCTGTGACAAAATAAACCCTAAAAGAAATTATTGACGTATTTCTAATCTGTTCCCCCCCCCCCCTTCTGTACCAGGTTGATGCGACAAGCCTACCTGGAGATAGCACTCATTTACCTGTACAGCTCCGGTCTGATCACGGTCAAGGACGGTTCCTTCCTGGAGTCGGTGGCCGGGGACAGCAGCGATGAGGTCAGCGTGGCCTCCAGCCGCACCGAGAGAAAGTACAAGAGGTCAAAGGTGAGGGGTTGTCTCCGATAATCAGTCAAAATAGCAAGAAAAGATACGTGATCTAGGGACAATTGTTGAAAGAATGAGACAATTTTTTTCTCCCTCCTGAAAAATGTTTCCATCTAGTTCTAGGCTTACAACATTTAACTAGCTTGCCAAGGATGTCTGTGGAGGTGGTCGTAGAACCTTGCTAAGGATATATACATATTATGTAGGTGGTCGTAGAACCTTACCAAGGATATATATATTATGTAGGTGGTCATAGAACCTTGCCAAGGATATATACATATTATGTAGGTGGTTGTAGAACCTTGCCAAGGATATATATATTATGTAGGTGGTCGTAGAACCTTGCCAAGGATATCTATATATTATTATGTAGGTGGTTGTAGAACCTTGCCAAGGATATATATATTATTATGTAGGTGGTTGTAGAACCTTGCCAAGGATATATATATTATTATGTAGGTGGTTGTAGAACCTTGCCAAGGATATATATATTATTATGTAGGTGGTCATAGAACCTTACCAAGGGTATTAAATATGTAGGTGGTCTTAGAACTTTGCCAAGGATATATGTCTCTGTGTAGGTGGTTGTACCACCTTGCCAAGGATGTGTTTGTGTAGAAGGTCTTAGAACCTTGCCATCGTGTTCCCACACACACTCCACACTCCACAGCTTTCTCCTCTATTCCCCCTGTTGTGGCTGTGATCTACCATCTCGTGTTGCACCGTTCTCCACGCTTTGAACTTTGAGAACTTCTAGGCACACTTCTTTTCTCTACACAATTTATCGTAGTGCCAATATTGTTTTTTGTCATCGGTGTATCCTCCTGTGTATATTCCTTTGTGGCCTCTGTATGTAACTGAGCTCACTTGTGTTCAGTTTCAGTTCTGCCGTCCAATGGTAGAGCCACTGAACTACTCATTTCATGATTTTGAAGGGAAAAAAAAGAGAAAGTCTTGCTGTCACCCTAAAATGCAGAGCATCTGAGCGAAGCAGAAATTAGTTTGCTGGTCTTTTTTGTTTTCTTTTTGTCTTCTTTGAAAAGTTACTTTAAACAGATTTTTGTTTCTAGAGAATTTTTGTGACGATAATATACTCATTTGCTGTTGATTGTGACAGTGAAATGAAGAAGACGAAAAGATCTACTGGCCTAAAGGTTTATCTCGGGGGGAAAAACGGAAGTGCTCTGGTGTGGTTTGCTTCTTCTTTCCTATCAAACATCTATCGTCTTTATCTCTCCTCCTTCTTTTTGTGTTTGTTACTCTCTTGTAACGCCTCTAATCTTTGGCACTTATATGACCTTACTGTGTTGTTAGTGCAGTAAAACTTTTACTAAAGCTAAAAAACCCCCAGAAAAGTGGAGAAACATTTCAAGGGTGGTTGTGGTGGGTGTGGGAGTTTGTGTTTGTTGTTTCCCTCCTGACATGTGTCTGTGTGTCCCCCCCACCAGGAGGATGTGGTGCCGGAGGAGGTAAGGCCGTGGACAGACCATGCTTTTCTCACCACACACAACACACACACACACATACATGACACAACAACACACACACACACAGTGTGTCACATAGCTGCCCAACACTACCTAAACAACGTATCTAGTACTTTTTTTTGACAGTCTCAGTAAGGAAGTCTGTTGTCCTATATATAGGACAATACATACCGTACGTGTATTTTGTTTTCTTGTATTTCTCCTCATAGGCTTGCTGAAACTGAAAATGTTTAAAGTGTCCCACACACTCATACGACCTTATGCAGTTGCGAGCGACGTAAAATTCTTTCCCCCCAAATAAAGAAAAAAAGATTTAATAATGCTGAAGAAAAATGATGAACTTTCAAGTTGTGATTTGTCAGGTATAATTAGAACCCATATTGAGAAGCCCATTGGTCAGTTGGAGAGATCTTTTGCTGCAGGTCCACTTAAAATAGCTTGAACTTACTTAATGAGGAAAAATGTATGTGAAGAGTTTTGTA